AATTTGATGGCTATCACCATTTTAATACGAAAGAAAAATTAAAAAGAGAATGTAAGATTTTTAGAAGGTACAGGGTACCATGTTCTCTGTGATATCGAGCATATCAAAGTAGAAATATGTAAAAAATAAGCATGTATGCCCAGAAGAAGGACAATAGGATGTTAGCAATTTCTGGTGTTATGACTCTTTTTAAATTATTTTCTGTTTTTCAGATATCCTACAATGTGTATATATTCCCTTTTACCCTAATTCTTTCCTGATTTAAAAATGGATACTCATTTATTTAAAAACAAGTCAAATAATATAACTATTCTAAAGAAGAAAATAGAAGTCACCCCTAGTCCTCATTGATCACTTCTCTTCGGTGAAAATTCTTCCTGACATCAGCCTGTGGATTATTACATTAATTTTATAAAAGTGAAAAAGACACCACAAAGGACAGGAAAGCAAATGTTGTGCCTATGCCCTAGGCCTTACAAATAATAAGTTCTGATGTATGCCATTTATTTTATAGCGGATATATCCAGATTTTTTCCTAGTACCTCCACTGTGTACTCTCATCCTGGGCGAAGGGTGATATGGCAGAAAAACTACTTATCTCACAGTGGAGAGAAAAGACAGGGCATTGGAGACATGTGCTGACACAAATTAGTACAAGACTTTGTAAATAACTTCATAAGTCAGCCCATTTCTTCTGTGAAAGTACCTCAGTCATCCTACAGCCTGGGTTGAGGATGAAAACAGTGACAAGATGAACCTGTGTAATTACTGCTAAAATTCCTTCCTATATTTTCTTCCAGTCCTTATATATTAAATAATTATATTTCTTTGAATTATAGATTAAATAAAGAAAATAACTTTTTTTCATTTCTTAGTTTTTTTTTTTTTTGTTTCTCACCATGTGGTCCAATCTATTGTTATACAACAGATAATTTATTATTAAAACATCCCATTAGAAGAAGATATGTAGTAATACGGATTCTGTGGCTTTTGTGTCAAGTTTGCAAAAGACTAATCACATTGCTATATTGTGTACAGGAAACACCACAGACACACTTAATTTGCTTTTGTTTTTTCCTTTTAGACCATCAAAGTGAAAACCTACTAAGGAGCTTAAAAAAAAAAAAAGCTGGAGCTTTGGAAGAAATACTAATCTTGGATAAAATTTATGTACTTAAAATCACAGCAATCACAATCTTCTTTGAATCATTTAAAAAAAATTCATAGATAAGACAGGATGCTCCTTTACCTTGACGTAAGATGCACAGCTGATGCACAAAATAAGAAAGAATTATACCAAAAATACCAAACCTCTGACCTCAAATCACTGTACGGGATACACCATATATTGGATATTCAAAATACTCTTTACTCTCTCAGCTATTTCTAACTCTGTCACTTTAATGACTGTTACCTGATAACTTATTTTTAAAAATGGTTTTAAGTTAGGCATCTAATAAATTACTAGAGTCAACAAAGGTTGTGCTTCTTTGTTCTTGAGGAGATGAAAACATTTTCTTCTAATGAGTTTGTCCAATAAAAGTCTTACAGAAATGCACATACCCTTAAGTTATTCATTTTAATAAGTTTATTCTGAGGTAAATAAAAAAATACACAATGCAATACACCTTATGTCAGACCATGCTGAAAACTTTATTGGATATGATACAGGTTTCAGGGCAGTAGTTATTATATACAATATTTTTCTTTTTAATCAAATGGATACAATTCTTCACACTGTTAACAATTTTACACCCTCACAGTAGTAATACACAGTACACCATTCTCTTCACAGGCCAGTGTTTCCTAATGAAGACAGCTGTTGCATCCTGCAATAAGGCCACGAGATGTCAGAATTAAATGCGAAGTATCAGGATGTCCTGTATGAAATGATTCCAGTATGAAGAAGATCTGATGTGTTGCTGCTTCAAATGATTGTTTTTACTTGAGACAAAGTGTACTAAACTCCAGGAAATTAGTCCCAGCTAATAAGCAAGGCAGGATATATTTTTATTTGATCAAAATTTACTTGTGCAAAGTACATGTGTTAGTATAGCATGTGGGTACGATGTGGTCTAAGGAAGCTTGCGGTATTTCGAGAAAGAAGGGTGTATATATAAAAGATAAATAGCTTTATTTCCTCTCCCCAACCCCCCTCCATTTTTGTTTCTGTCTCTCAAGATGCAAGAAGCCTTGGGGGCATGACAGGAAGACTGCCAGTCTCAGTCTTTTGCAGAAGAGTTTCTAAAATTCCACTTAGTCTTTTTTTTCCCCCAACGATGTGACTTGAAATACGGTAAAGTCAAATATCATCATAGTTGGGAGTGTCACTGGTCCCTAGTTTACGGCCAGGGTTTCTGTGGTGTGTCAGATAATTAAAGGATTTCCAAGTCTCAACTCACCAGAAAAAACATGCAACCATGCAAGGTCCTGCAAGGGGCACGAAGTTTATAATGGCCTTGCCAAGGAAATTCCAAATCAAAACAAACCATCCCTAGTGTGCACTTGAGAAGAGAAGAGACCAACTGAAAGGCAGAAGGCAGAAGGCAGAAAGATCCTGCAGATGGGCTCTAGCTCCTGCTGTCCGGTCCTCACGGCACGGAAATTCTCCAGCCCGCGGCAGGAGGCAGATGCAAGGAAGTCTTAGGTAAAGTTCAGCACTCATTAGTTATGGGGGAAAGGTTCTGATATATTTAAAGAGGCAAAAAAAAAAAAAAAAAAAAAAGCTGACCTCAAAGCAGAGTACATTTGAAGTGATAACTCGCCCTTGCATATTTTTCAGTATGGTAAATTTTCAGCAAGAAGCTTATGTGTATATCTGATATGGAGTGGGGCCAGGCTGATCTGGGGTGCAGTGAATTCAGGAGTTAAGCTCAGGCCTTTTCTAGAGGCAGAAGTATCCATCCCCATTGCTTAAGACCTGGACCTCCCGGTGCCAGATGTCACAGTGAACGATGGGGCTTAGGAGCTCCTTCAGGTTTCCTCAAGGTAGATGGTTAAAGGCTGTTACTTGGAATTTTTAAATTCAAGGTTAAATTTTAATATGATGATCAAAGATACTGACTTGTTCACCAGATTACAATGTTAGATGTTAGCTCTATTTTTATTGTTTTAGATAAGATGTTGCACAATAGTGCTTCCATTTGGGTAACAGCAGAATTGAGCCTTTTGTAATGTACTGTAGCGTTAACATCTAGGGGTGATTTCAGAAGTTCTGTGTACGAGAGGTTTAGGGACAGCAGTTTGATATTAAGGGGTTGCCGAGTGGATTCATCTTGAAGCTGTGTTTGCATTAAAAAATTTCTGCTGTTTACAATTAAATTACATTAAAAAATAGTATCAGTCTGAAGATTTTAGAGCCCTCTTTTAATTTTTTGGATTATTATGTCCATGGGTGAGGATGGAGCATTGTAGGGTGCTGGTGGCTACATCCTACCCTTGGCATAGTTGCTGAGAGCGTCCCACAAAGGTTGGTAAATCTGTTAAAGATATTACTTCTCTGAAATACAGGGCATTTTGTCCCTATTACATTATGCCTATATCATATTATGCCTTTAGAGTGTCACAGAAGAACTGAGGCCTGAAATCCTGTATAAATGATCAGTTCACTGAAGCTGGTATTCACAGCAAACAGAGAGCACATACAAACAGATTTTCCTCCACTAGTCTTCTTGAAAATCTCCCTTGGTGGTGGTGGGGGGAGGGGTGATCACTAATGCAGAGGATTTGAGAGGTGTTGAAAATAAACGAAGGATACAGAGGATATTATTTTCTAAAAAAGGATTTGCCAGAAGCCTCCTTATTTGAACAGTAACGTGACTGCACTAAGCACATGAATCATGCTCTAAACCTGGGTCTTCCCTAGTTTTCTGAGTGTTGTGCCAAGCAAGACAGTTAATTCACACAGAGCATATTACCACGTTTGACAAAGGCATTATCCTCTATGAAAGCACACTGCCTGGAGCTGGAGGCGCGGCCATTCACCCTACAAGCTGTGGCCCTTGCAGGGGATGCCTGGGGAGAATGTGGGCACAGCTTTTCATGGCCGCTACAACCCAGCTTGAGTCAAACACGTGCAACCACCTTTTGCTTTTGGTACAGATATTTGTTTTCCAATTGAGTCTAGATATTGGTTTTGTAAAAGGAAAAGAGAATATATATATTTATAGGGTATTAATAGGTATTTGCAAGTGTAGGTACATTTATTATGGTTGAGTAAGCATCAAATTTTACAAAAATATCTCCCTCTATAAGCCTCATTTTTTTTTTAAGATTTTATTTATTTATTTGACAGAGAAAGAGACAGCAAGAGCAGGAACACAAGCAGGGGTAGTGGGAGAGGGAGAAGCAGGCTTCCCGCTGAGCAGGGAGCCCGATGCGGGACTCGATCCCAGGACCCTGGGATCATGACCTGAGCAGAAGGCAGACGCTTAACGACTGAGCCACCCAGGCGCCCTATAAGCCTCATTTTAAGCATACTGATGACATGGAAATATTCAGAGATTAAATTGCCCATGACTTTAAGGCTCAAAGAAAATAACTGAATAAATTGGACCACTGAATTTCAAATTGGATCATAGAAATTACAAATATTTGCAAAGGATGAACTTTCACAGTATCGTTTCAGGGTTCTGGATTCCTCGAGAAAGTAAGACAGCTTCTTTGTGGCTGTGAAGGTCTGATTTTCATTGTGTCACCCTTTGTATTTTCTTGCTTTCAACTCCTTGCTTCGCCTGAAAGTTTATATCATTTTATTAATATTAAAGGAAAGCTATAATTCTGGAAATTGAAATTGAAGAATGAGGGATAGCATTGTCTGCTGGGCTTGAGATGAGCATTTAAAGCATAATCTGAAATATGATTATATGGTGTGTATTTATGTATGTATATATATTTAACATGTTGTATCTCTGTATCTATTATCTATCTATCTATCATCTATCTATTGTCTATTATTGTCATCTAATCTATTTCAATGGTGTGCTGAAGTCAGCTTATACTGGTTCATGAGAGTTGACAGATCAATTTTCAGGAGTTTTGCAAGCTGGTTAGGGTTATATTGGTAGCTTGAAAATGGCCATGGCAAGCCTATTTAAATCACGGAAATTGGCAAGTTATACAAATCAGGGATTTTTTTCCTTCTGAAGAGCCAGCTGTTGAATAATTTACCAATATACCATTCTAAGTTTGGTCTGGAAAGGGACTTCATACATATTTTAGTTCACAATGGAAGAAATAATCAATTTTGTAAAATACCAAAGTTAAAAAAAAGTTTTTGGCATAAACTCATATTCTTAAATAGCACTCACTTTTCTTATTAAGTGCTTTAGAATAAAATGATAGTTTAGTATATTTCTTAATCATTAATTATGTTTTAGAACATTTGTACTGTTGACTTATTATTTTAATCAAAGCTTCCACATTTACATCTTTTAGATAGTTGCAGAACTGTGCACTAAAGTTAAATATTAATGAAAATGAATGAATGAATTAATGAAAATGGATGAATCAAACTTTTCTTGTTGGTGTAGCTTTTGTGTTTATTTTTTTGTCGTTTTTGTCAAACCCTGTCATTTGGTATTATTGAGGTATTTTGTATTTGATTTGTGTTTGTCCATTCGTGTGTGTGTACATGTGTGTTTACACACACATACAGATGCTCACACATATACACACATAAAGCTCAACAAATAATAGTATTAGGGAAAAGGGATATTGGTTCATTAAACATTCTATTTGAAAACTGGGAACAACTTATGTTAAGAACTGTGCCAGGCTTATAAGTAGCTATTTGATCTGTCCGAATGGTTCTTCCTCTCTTTTCTAACAACTTCAAAATGCCATTGTTTCCATCTTTCCCCTCTGGGTTAATATCGTATTTGGTTGAAATGTGCACATTCCTGCTTCAGTGAATGCTTTGCCTAGCAGTCATAGAGGCCAAGTGTGAATTTAAGTTTACCTGTTCGATTTACTTCTAAGAATGTGCTGAGATTGGAGCTGAGCTGCCGAGCAGGCTGTGCAATGTGGCGACTCTGAATAAGAGAGACCTGAGTTCTGTTGGGCAAAGAAAGAACAGGTGGGAAGAATGACTTCTGAACCTGGAGATAGGTAGTGGGAGTGAAGGAAACTCCCGAAGTGGATATTTCTGAACAATGACCAGCAGGAGGATATCAAATCTCTGGAAAGATTGAGCTTTTCTTCTAGTATTGATGACCTCAGCACTTCCCAGGTGCATGACTTTGATCATCGGGATCTTAGACATAGATGTGGAGATCTACGAGGGAGGCCGACTCTGAGTCGGCCTTGGAAATTCCTTGGAAATTAGTTTTAAAAATTAAACCTATGTCATTTAATTTCTCCCTTGATTTGATGCTTTTTGAGAATAGTAGAGTCCAGGACTTCCTGGATAAGTTGCTGGACAGGTGCTGGTCTTGTGATGGTCAGCCCGGTGGAGAGATGGAGTTGTTACAGAAGTATCAGCAAATTTTACAGCAGTAGTTCACACATGCGGCTATAATACATTCATCCACTGTTATTTTCCTAAGAAACGGAGCAACCTACGAGCTTATGCTACAGTAGAGTCCAATGCACCATAAGGATCACTTCAGGAGCAAAGAAGCTCATACAGAGGTGTGATATCTTTCTGTTGGTGCAAGTTCAAACCTAAGATTCTTTAAAATACATTTCCAGAGTTCTATTTAAATAGGGATATGCCACACTAAAAAAGCAGTGGCTTCTTGGTAAAACGCAATACTGAAATGGAATACTGACTTTCATAAAAATAAGAAATGTGTTTGGAAATTTAAATACCTTTTAAAAAATTAAAAACAAACATACTCTCACAGCTTGAGGGTTTAAATGAACCATGTGCCAAGGAGCTGAGAAAGCTCCTACTTTGGGTTACATCCTGGGACCGCTAACGTTCAAAAGCTGCCCAGCTGGGCATTTCCGCGGCATCTGCATGTTCCATTCAGAAGCCATCTTAGCATATCCCGCACACAACACGGCTTTTCATGACAAATCACTGGTATGCCCCATAAAACTGCTGTGAAGTGTTGTTTTCAGCATAAAAGTTTTGAGTTTTAGGGCTCATGTCAAAATTAAGCATGTTCTGTGAAAGCTTAAATTAATCCTTCCAGTGAGTTGCCTTTAAACAAGTCTATCTTCGTTTTCCATCAGCTCAATTGTTTCTAAACACTTTGAAAACAAAACCAAAAACCAAAAAACTTTCCAAGTACAGAACCGAACACAAAGATGCTGAATGCATTCTCTGTGACTTAATTCTATTTTCAGTCCATATTTTATATATACTCTATCCAGGAAATTTTCTCATTTAAATAGGGAGAAGTGATCTTTTTCAGTTAATTCCTTTCTTGTCATTTACAAATGTTGACTATCATGCTGAATGTGGATATCCATCAGGAACCAATGGAAAAAGTTTAATTTATCAATGATCATAAAAATCTTTTTATGCATTCCTTAAATACTCTGGATGCTGATTTAATATATAAACATATTTGTACAAGTTATTCTTCATCTTCAAAACACTTTGTAATTTCACTTAAATAACACAAATGAGTAATTATTTAAAAATATTTTTCATCATTTTACAAAATATATCTTTATGGTATTGTTTTTGGATCTTCCTTGATCTGTCATTTTCCAAATGATTAATCCCTGATGGATTACATAAAGTTATGTGACTATATCTTTAACTGTAATAATAAATTTCTTGTCACATATTTGAGGCAAACCTGAGGATAGATTATCGAATAATTGTTATTTTTTTCCTTCCTCCTGTAAAATATGTCATTTCTCCATTTTCTTCTTTAGTGGTCTTTTGAAGAATCCAATCTGTTGAGAAAATACCAAACATAACACCATTAATTATTTGAATTTAGATAATAAGTACTAATTTCCTTGGATAAAATTTAATACTACGTTAGTGATTCTGGGCACTCAAATAATTAATATAATTGAGATTTTTTTTCATTGACCTATTAAGTAATATTGACTGTCAAGAAATGACATTTATCAAATTGCTATTTCATTTTAAAAACTTTTCTGTTGGTTAAATATATCATGTCTCCTAGTAAAAACTAGTACATGTGGTTTTTACTAGTACTACGGAAAATATTTGGAAGGACATATAAACTACAGTTAGCTGGCATTAAATGGCACTTTGCCATCATCTTTTTTCTCAGGGATGTGGCAGAGAAATTCCATCAAATAACTGATGGTCATAAATTGAGGTCGTTAGAGCTGGGGGCGGAAACTGGCACATGCATCATGGCCGAGAGTGGGGGAGATTTGAGTTGCCTGGATTCACTTTAAATGTGTTAGGACATCTGCCTTTATAGGCTTGACAGGAAGTGCCTCTTGAAAACGTGCTGTATCATTTGGATATGAAAAGGAACTCACTGAACATAGAAGAAATTTCACGAAGGGGTGAACGTGGGTTACTTTTCACTATACTTTGTAATTTGGGTCATTATAAAAATTGTAAGTGCTTTATTTATTTCCTATTGTACATTATAATAAAAATAAGTATAGGGACTGGAAGGGACCTTTGTAATAATCTCATCTAAAATGTGGGTATTTTAAATAAAAGGAAATTAAGCATCCTAGAGAAGTGTTTTTTTAAGTCCATGTATTTTTTTTTTTATTTGAGAGTGGATTATAATAGTTCAAGCAGACAATGAGTTAATTCTTTGAAAGTATAGTACCTCCATATCATTTTAATAATGAAGCTATGGTGAATTATGCAAGAGAATGGTATATTTAAAAAAAATCATTATTGAATAATTGAGAGCTTAGATGGGATAAATGATCAAAATGCAGTTTTAAGCTACAGAAGGTAGCTTCTTTATGTCTTTCACCATGACAGGGCTTTATGTCTTCCATGATGTCAGAATCTAGTTGGTGGTAGATGAGGAAAAGGTGACAACAGAGAAATAAATGTGAAAAAACAATAAATTTGTCCTGCTTCGAGTGGCAGCTCTATGTCTCAGGATTTTTTCTTTGAGCCAACAATAAAAGTTCTGGATTCACAAACTATCAGTTTCCTTACCTTGTGCCTGCAGGTCCTGAGTTGAAAATAAATCCAACAAGGCTTTCACAGGAACAGGTGGTGAATGTAAGACTTTTCTCTCTCCTGTCCTGTCCTGCTCTCTCTCTTGTCCTTTCCCTCTCAAGTCTTTTTGCATCTTTTCAACCTTCCTTTGCTTTCACATGCTAAATGTTCTATTTTATTTTATTTTTTATTTTTAAGACTTATTTATTTGAGAGAGAGCGAGCGAGCGAGTAGTAGGGGTAGGGGAGAGGGGCAGAGGGAGGGGGAGAGAGAGAATCCCAAGCAGATTCTCTGCTGAGCATGGAGTCCCACGCATGGCTCCATCTCACAACCCTGAGATCATGACCTAAGCTGAAATCAAGAGTTGGACGCTCAACTGACTGAGCCACTCAGGCACCCCTAAGTGCTCTATTTTAAAACTAAATTGTGTTATCTGAACTTTTCCACTCAACTAATTCTATTAACATGGGGTGTTAGTGGAAGTTGGGTCATAAGAATGGAGACTAGGTGAATGCAGTACATAGCTTCAAACTGGCTGGGGCCAATACTAGCTAAAATTAAAAATGAGTTAAGTTTGTTTTCAGTGCCCAGACTTACAACTTTCACTTTCCTTCTTTGCCTTTCCATATTTACTTATCAGTAAGTGCTAGATCTTATTTATGCTTATCCCTAGTTCAAAACCCTATGGCAAAGGGTCAGATTCAACAGTACCTGGTAGAAATTACAGGCTTACTGACTATAATATGGAATAAATGTTGAATGAATAAATTTAACTAATATATAAAAGACTAAAAAATGGTGGCGCTATTCCCCGTCCACATCCACCAAGGATATGTATATTGGATGAGGAATAAAGCTTTCGGATTAGTAAATAAATTGTCAGTGATGGAACTTCAGCCATTAGTATGAAATCAAGTTAAGAGAGAAAAACGTTCTGCTTTCTTAGGGCTTCTCTGTGGGCTGAGTCTCATTTCAATCTATTGGTTATATCGGTCTGACTGGGCTTCTCCCTCAATGTGTGGTACTATATTCCAGAATGTGTTTCTCAATCTATTTAAACCTGTGCCCCCTAAAAGCCTTCTCTCTTCAATATTAAGTATAACAAGCTACTACTAACATTTTGAAAAACTTTAATTTCTACCATGTGTACTGCAAGGATAAATTATATATAGACAGTGCTTTTTGAAATAGAGGCACAGCTCCAGGAAGAATCTTTGGCCTGTTCCCTGTATGGACCCTGGGAGTTCCAATGAATTTCCAGAGTGGTCAGATTTTGTTGTTGTTGTTGTTATTTTAATTTTTAAGTTTTATTTATTTATTTGAGAGAGAGATAGTGAGAGAGAGAGAGCACGAGCAGGGGAGGAGGGAGGAGCAGGGGAGGAGGGAGAAGCAGGCTCCCCGTCCAGTAGGGAGCCTGATGTGGGGCTTGATCCCTGATGCAGGGCTTGATCCCAGGACTCTGGGATCATGACCTGAGCCGAAAGCAGACGCTTAACCGACTGAGCCACCCAGGTGCCCCAGAGTGGTCAGATTTGGAAGAAGGAGGAAGAAGGGATAGTCCTGAGGTTTCTGCTCCAGGTCTAGTAAGTATAAAAAAAGTCCCTGGGTAGCTCTTCTGAGTCTTCTGCAGACCAAATACATGCTTCAGGGAAGTTCCATATGGCTTTAAGCAGGTGGAGGGGCAATTAATATTTTTAGTATAATGGAGCTGCCGAAAGTCTGAATCCAACTAGGGACTCTCATTCCAAAACAAAATGGTTTTATACATTTCAGAGAGTTCATGACCCTCTTGAACAAAACCCAATTCCTGGAGCTCCAGAATAAAGAGCCCTGCCTAGAGGTTTCTAGCAGTGAGAGATACTGGAAAAGGATGGGCTTTGCTGATAGATCTTTGCTTGCATCCAGTCCTTTACTAGCTGGTAATCTTGGGAGAGTTACTTAACTTCTCTTTACTTTAATGTCCTCAAATATAACATGTAGTTAATATACTTTGTTGAAAAGGTTGTAAGCACAACAGAGTGAATAAAAGCAAGAGGGAACACAAAGCAAGGGGTTAACAGTGTTGGCAAGGAAGTAAAATGGTCCGGATTTAGGTCCTTACTCTGAATCTGATAAACCATGTGGCCTTGGGGAACATATTTAACTCTTGTACATCCCAGCATCTCATTAATAAAATGAGGTTCATAGTCGTGTCTTTCTCAGAGGGCTGATGTTAACATTAAAGTGGAAAAGTTTAAAATAGTTCCTGGCATGTAGAAAGCATTCGGTATGTCCTAATTCTCTTCCCTCCCTAATTCTCTTCTCTTCCCCCTCCCTGTGGAGTCGCGGATCTGATCACTGGATCTCCCACTGAAGTGGTTGAACTAACTGCACCTACTGGTCAGAACAGTCCAAAGGTTGCTAAATGACCTTCCTTCCTGGGCCTAAAGGGATCCAAGAAGCCAGCAGAACGTATTAACAAAACATTTACTGGATGGAAGAATGTGTTTATTTTTACCTTTATGCTTCCTCAGACCGGTGACCAAAAAAACTAGATGAATAAAACTTGTTTTAAGCAGAGATACGCCACCAGAGAAAATCTATCCAAATGTCAGCTCTGGCTTTCCTTTTCTCTTGTCAGCTGTCTCCTAAAACTACATGGGCAAGTGCAGTGCTCAGAATAGAAAAGCACACTGAAAGAAATCCGTAAAATGCTCTCTGGAATAGAGGTGCATCTAAGTGAAGAAACCACATTCTTTGTTTCAAGCACAACCTCGACACCACTAAGACAGGTCTTGGGGACCACGGTGTGGCAAAGCCAGGTATTACAGACAGAGCACTGATGATCCTGCAGTGTAGAAGGAGCTGCAGGTTTGAGAAAGCCAGGAATTCTTAGAGACTTCGCGAGAGAAAAGCTATGGTTTCTATT